TCACCAATTTCATAGTATTTTAAATCGCAGTGATGCTAAGGAAATAAAAAAGTGTGCAACGACCATTTTTATAGGAGATAGAAACCAGATAACCAAGGAAAACAAATCAAATAGTTTACTTAGTCAACAAATGCAACAATGTCATAGCAAATAACATTTACAGTATTGCATTCAAGTCCAATACTAACTCAAATGGAACCAATCACAATTAATCGATTTGAAGAAATTCCTGTTTCGTGCACAACATGTAATTGGGACTGGAACATTGATGTTTAGAAAAATAATACCACGCAAATGAAAGCACCCATGGAAAGTGCCATCTTGAGAATCATCACAAAGAATGCCACCTTGGCAACCCATTATGAGATCTCAAGCGGCACCACTTTTTCAATCAAGTTTGAATACTCAAGGAATTCCACTTTGGCAGTCCAATTTAATTCTCAAACTAGAAGTAATAGATCAAATGGGTAGTCAAGACGTATGGGACAAATGTAGGTCCAAATAATATAAATTCTAGAAAATAAAGTGAGTCATTAGATTTAATTAAAAAATAGATGGATGATAGTAATTATGAGATGATGAATATATTGTCATAAGAAATCACTATAATGTTAATTCTTTTGGTATAAACTGCTATTTGGCTTGAATTTGAGATGTGCTATCTATTTCACAGAATAAGATACCTTGAAATGGGCAATAATAAAAGCAAACATAAAATGCATTTAGGTGGTTATATCCTCCACCTCCATAACTTCTTTCTACAATTCTATATATTTAAAATTTTCAATTTTATCCTCTTTTTATTTTAAATTCCAAAATGCACAATATAAAGACATTCCTGAATACATAATTCAGAATGTAAAAATTATTTTCTAGATTTTTATTTTATATTATATAATTTGAAATATATTTTTTATTTTATATTTCAGATTAAATAATTTAAAACGCAAATTACATTATAGACTGTGTATTCCAAATTGCACAATGTAATTTACAGTGTAAAGAATATGAACACCAATGGAAGAAGAAAAGAAAAAAGGATAGTGGTGGAGGAAGAAGTGGGGAGAGGAGACGTGATTGGAGAAAGAAGGAAGAGAGGAAGCACCGATGAAAGAAGATGAAGGGAGGAAGAAGGTAAGGGCATATGCATCATTTCACAACTCGGGGTTCAAGTTGAAATGTAAGGAGGTGCAGGAAGAAACTGCCATGCTTTTAATAATAATTTAGAAATCCCTTAGAGGCAAAGATGCCAATCAAGTATTGCATAAGGGCATAAATTAGTTTCGCAAAGAAATGGTGGGGAACATATGTTCAGGGAATAACATCAATTATGTGAATCAAAATCCTAAGATAAATAAAAGAAAATGTCATGAACAACCAAGGACTAGATTTGGGGTATTTTAATAAACCCTATTAGATTTATCCATTTCCACATATAGTGCTACAAGAAGAGTTGTAAAGAGAATATCAAATCCCAAAGTTTACTAAATTTTTTTGAGAAATGGGAGAATCTACTTTTAAGCAATAACTCGATTTCAAATATAATGGCAAGATATATTGATGAATGAACATCTTAAGATGAAATACTTTCCAAGATCATTGAATAAAATGCTTTTATGTGGTTCACCACTTCACCAAAAAAATATTGATATATAATTTGGTTAAGTTGAAAAGAATTTTTCATGAATAAAATTCGTCAGGGATGAAACTTTTTCGAGTTTAACTAATCAAATGTTAAAAACAATAAGAATCAAAATAGTAATGATTATTTGGATTGATTTAGAGAATTAAAAACAATGGATAACTTCAAATCAATCACTGCTCTTAAGATAGTAAAATAAGATAAATAATTAGTTTATCTAACAACAAATATAAACTAATTCATATAATTAAAAACATATTTTCATGAATAAAACAATATCTATTACAAAAAAGTTAAAAAAAGTTACATCTTTGTTTAAAATTTTAGGAGATTTAGTTTGTTATAATGAATATAACAAATTCAATATAAAGAAGAGACGTCGTTTTCTAAACTTCTAATAAAATTCCTTAAAGTAAAGGAGAGTATATGAAAAACTCTATAAAAGTATTTCTCTAAAATTTATCCAAAAATCTCTCAAAGAGTAATGATACCATGACACACTTTTATATTCATTTGACAAAGCTACAAGGATAAAATGGTCAAAAAAGTGAAAACTTTTGTATTGTTTCAAGAAAGAAGAGAATAAAAAGTAATGAATGGTAGTGTCAAATGAATGCAAAATATTTAGGTATGTCAAAGAATCTTTAGTCATCTCTCAAAATAGAAGAGTAACTTTATTTTTATAAGCTCTCGAGGGTATGACTTTTGTGGTGAAAGTGTGGCTCTAGGCCTAGAAGTTTTCATCTAAGGTAGGCTTCCATGCTTTCTGTGACTCAGGCATATGCTTGGTGGCTTTTCTTTAGGTCTAGTGTTTGAGGTTTTCCTTCAAAGTGGGTTTGCTTGTGTTTCTCAAGCCACAATAGTTTTGCTTTAGCTGTGCCAAAGTTAGTTTTGTCTATAATTGTCTAAAATTCCTCAATTTTCATGATTTTTCTCCTTTGATTCTCTAATGTCATCAAAATCTACAAAACAAGTAAAATTGGGGTGATTTCTACAAATATTTAACATAATCAAAACAAGATTAATACCAAATTGCTATTAAAATTAAGTCATATTGGACACTTGCCAGTAGGTAAATCAAGTTTATAAGTGTTACAATCGAATTCGTGATAGGATGACAAACCAAAAATAAAAATAAAAATAAAAATTTTAAAGATAGAGTTTGGAGTGAGCACCGTAGTTTACAAAATGAGATTCTAAGTTTGATAATCGATTAATGTTTTAGCACTCCACAACATCTAGTCATGAAACTTTTAATTAAATATGCAAAATAATGATATTTTAAAATGTTAATTTTCCTCAAGAAATAAGAATAAGAAACAAAAACATATTTTCTAATTTTTGGATTCGAGAAGGATTGAACTCGTTTCTATACATTTTCAAACAAAAATCAAGAACCATGTAGTACTAAATGGGAAAACTGATTGAAAATCTATTTGAGAAAATTTTGGATTTTTTGAAAGTAAACCCGACATGTCCTACATATCTTTGTTCATAATAAAGAATCAGTGATTACATAGTTTTTAATGAGAAAACTGTTTGGAAAGACATTATCGATTTCATTACTGGGCTGCCCCATCTCATGGCTTCCCAGTGATCATGGTAGTAGTGAATAGACTATGGAAGTATAGCCATTTTTCTCCTGCGAAAATAGATTATACCAGTAAACAGGTGGCAAACAGTTTTGTCACTCTTGTGGTTAAGCTAAATGGAATTCCGAAATCCATATTATCAGATAGGGGACAAGGTTTTCAGTAGTCAATTCTGGCAACATTTGTTCAGGTTGAGTGGTACCACACTTAGCATGTCAACAGCTTACCACGGACAATCTAAGGCTATAAACAAGCGTTTGGAAATGTATTTTAAGGTGTTTCACATTTTGAAATCCGAAAGAGTGGGTCAAATTCTTGCCCTGGGCAGAATTTTGGTATAACAATGCATATCATCATTAGCGCTAGCATGACTCTATTTAAAGTTGTATCTGGAAGAGACCTACCTCAAATAGTCAAATACGTACCTGATCCAACAGTTTAATGTCAGTTCAAGAGCAGTTGTTGCATAGGGACATTATTCTCTCCAAACTTGTGCAAAATCTCCATCGAGCTCAACAAATAATGAAGAAAAATGCAGACCAGAAGAGAATGAATGTGGAGTTTAATGTTGGAGATAAAGTGTTGGTCAAGCTGCAACCCTATAGACAGTCTTAAGGAAGAACCAGGAACTAAGTTTGAGATACTTTGGTCTGTTCTCAATTATAAAAAGGATTGGCAAGGTTGCTTACAAATATCTGTCATCAGAGACTTCTAAAATTCACCCAGATTTTCATGCTTAGCAGCTTAAACTTTATAAGGGGAATCACTCTCAAATCTTATATTCCCATACCTATCACTTCTGATGATGCACAACCAGTACTCCGACCAGCTGCTATTCTTCAATCTAGGGTGATTATCAGGGCACTAAGCAGATTCAACATTTAGTCCAATGAGAGGGATTGGATAAAATTCAAGCCACTTGGGAGGATCACATTGCATTACAATATGTTTTTCGAGACTTCAACCTTGAGGACAAGGTTGTATTTAATGGGGGAGGAAATTTAATGAAGCCAATTACAACAGCTGATGCAAATGAGGAAAAATATGGAAAAGCCCACGGCCCAAAATAACTAACGTACGTACGGCTTAGGGACTATGGTGAGGTTGTTAGCTTATAGGTCACAATGGTTGGAGGAGAAGTTTTTTTAGGGTTGAAGTTGCTCTGTCTTCTCTCTTTGGGAAATCAATTATGTTTTTGGATTTTTCGTCTTTTAGCTCTATAATTTCTGCTGCCTCCATAGCAGTACCTCCTTTCTTGTAAGAAACCCCTTTCCAGTAAATAATACTATTACAGATTTTTGCTTTACACTGATTATACTATTCTTGCTCTTTTGTCTGTTATCACTATTTCATTGGTGTTCTCTGTTATCACTGTTACAATTACCCCCCTTCAAAAACATCACTATTTTTCATTTTTCTACCATCTAACTTGATTTTTCCAACATCATTATTTACATATAGTCAATGTCCTAATATCTCTTAAAAAAATTCTCTTGGCAATTGTCCATCAACTTGATCTGGTTCTGGCTATCATTTTGAGCATACCAAAAGATACTTCCCATCTTTTTGTGAGTATATATTTTTTTTGTGCATTTTGAATGTTGAAATTCTATTGTTGCTGGAACTTGTCTTCCATGCCATAAAAACCCCAGAAGTTGCACCAAATGCAGTATCATCCACCATAAAGAAATGGTTAAAAATGCATTGGTTGAGAATAATATTAATGGCCAGAGGTGGAATTTGGTCACAACTACAAGGAGTTTAAGTAGAGAAAGAAAACATCTGGTGTTGCAATTCAGCCAGCCCTTTTAGACTATCATCTATTGGGACCAAAACCCAAAACTAAAATTGTATTAGTATAATAGCATAAGCATGCGAAACAATAAAAAACAGATTAGAAACCTTAANTTTTCGAGTTTAACTAATCAAATGTTAAAAACAATAAGAATCAAAATAGTAATGATTATTTGGATTGATTTAGAGAATTAAAAACAATGGATAACTTCAAATCAATCACTGCTCTTAAGATAGTAAAATAAGATAAATAATTAGTTTATCTAACAACAAATATAAACTAATTCATATAATTAAAAACATATTTTCATGAATAAAACAATATCTATTACAAAAAAGTTAAAAAAAGTTACATCTTTGTTTAAAATTTTAGGAGATTTAGTTTGTTATAATGAATATAACAAATTCAATATAAAGAAGAGACGTCGTTTTCTAAACTTCTAATAAAATTCCTTAAAGTAAAGGAGAGTATATGAAAAACTCTATAAAAGTATTTCTCTAAAATTTATCCAAAAATCTCTCAAAGAGTAATGATACCATGACACACTTTTATATTCATTTGACAAAGCTACAAGGATAAAATGGTCAAAAAAGTGAAAACTTTTGTATTGTTTCAAGAAAGAAGAGAATAAAAAGTAATGAATGGTAGTGTCAAATGAATGCAAAATATTTAGGTATGTCAAAGAATCTTTAGTCATCTCTCAAAATAGAAGAGTAACTTTATTTTTATAAGCTCTCGAGGGTATGACTTTTGTGGTGAAAGTGTGGCTCTAGGCCTAGAAGTTTTCATCTAAGGTAGGCTTCCATGCTTTCTGTGACTCAGGCATATGCTTGGTGGCTTTTCTTTAGGTCTAGTGTTTGAGGTTTTCCTTCAAAGTGGGTTTGCTTGTGTTTCTCAAGCCACAATAGTTTTGCTTTAGCTGTGCCAAAGTTAGTTTTGTCTATAATTGTCTAAAATTCCTCAATTTTCATGATTTTTCTCCTTTGATTCTCTAATGTCATCAAAATCTACAAAACAAGTAAAATTGGGGTGATTTCTACAAATATTTAACATAATCAAAACAAGATTAATACCAAATTGCTATTAAAATTAAGTCATATTGGACACTTGCCAGTAGGTAAATCAAGTTTATAAGTGTTACAATCGAATTCGTGATAGGATGACAAACCAAAAATAAAAATAAAAATAAAAATTTTAAAGATAGAGTTTGGAGTGAGCACCGTAGTTTACAAAATGAGATTCTAAGTTTGATAATCGATTAATGTTTTAGCACTCCACAACATCTAGTCATGAAACTTTTAATTAAATATGCAAAATAATGATATTTTAAAATGTTAATTTTCCTCAAGAAATAAGAATAAGAAACAAAAACATATTTTCTAATTTTTGGATTCGAGAAGGATTGAACTCGTTTCTATACATTTTCAAACAAAAATCAAGAACCATGTAGTACTAAATGGGAAAACTGATTGAAAATCTATTTGAGAAAATTTTGGATTTTTTGAAAGTAAACCCGACATGTCCTACATATCTTTGTTCATAATAAAGAATCAGTGATTACATAGTTTTTAATGAGAAAACTGTTTGGAAAGACATTATCGATTTCATTACTGGGCTGCCCCATCTCATGGCTTCCCAGTGATCATGGTAGTAGTGAATAGACTATGGAAGTATAGCCATTTTTCTCCTGCGAAAATAGATTATACCAGTAAACAGGTGGCAAACAGTTTTGTCACTCTTGTGGTTAAGCTAAATGGAATTCCGAAATCCATATTATCAGATAGGGGACAAGGTTTTCAGTAGTCAATTCTGGCAACATTTGTTCAGGTTGAGTGGTACCACACTTAGCATGTCAACAGCTTACCACGGACAATCTAAGGCTATAAACAAGCGTTTGGAAATGTATTTTAAGGTGTTTCACATTTTGAAATCCGAAAGAGTGGGTCAAATTCTTGCCCTGGGCAGAATTTTGGTATAACAATGCATATCATCATTAGCGCTAGCATGACTCTATTTAAAGTTGTATCTGGAAGAGACCTACCTCAAATAGTCAAATACGTACCTGATCCAACAGTTTAATGTCAGTTCAAGAGCAGTTGTTGCATAGGGACATTATTCTCTCCAAACTTGTGCAAAATCTCCATCGAGCTCAACAAATAATGAAGAAAAATGCAGACCAGAAGAGAATGAATGTGGAGTTTAATGTTGGAGATAAAGTGTTGGTCAAGCTGCAACCCTATAGACAGTCTTAAGGAAGAACCAGGAACTAAGTTTGAGATACTTTGGTCTGTTCTCAATTATAAAAAGGATTGGCAAGGTTGCTTACAAATATCTGTCATCAGAGACTTCTAAAATTCACCCAGATTTTCATGCTTAGCAGCTTAAACTTTATAAGGGGAATCACTCTCAAATCTTATATTCCCATACCTATCACTTCTGATGATGCACAACCAGTACTCCGACCAGCTGCTATTCTTCAATCTAGGGTGATTATCAGGGCACTAAGCAGATTCAACATTTAGTCCAATGAGAGGGATTGGATAATATTCAAGCCACTTGGGAGGATCACATTGCATTACAATATGTTTTTCGAGACTTCAACCTTGAGGACAAGGTTGTATTTAATGGGGGAGGAAATTTAATGAAGCCAATTACAACAGCTGATGCAAATGAGGAAAAATATGGAAAAGCCCACGGCCCAAAATAACTAACGTACGTACGGCTTAGGGACTATGGTGAGGTTGTTAGCTTATAGGTCACAATGGTTGGAGGAGAAGTTTTTTTAGGGTTGAAGTTGCTCTGTCTTCTCTCTTTGGGAAATCAATTATGTTTTTGGATTTTTCGTCTTTTAGCTCTATAATTTCTGCTGCCTCCATAGCAGTACCTCCTTTCTTGTAAGAAACCCCTTTCCAGTAAATAATACTATTACAGATTTTTGCTTTACACTGATTATACTATTCTTGCTCTTTTGTCTGTTATCACTATTTCCTTGGTGTTCTCTGTTATCACTGTTACAATTACCCCCCTTCAAAAACATCACTATTTTTCATTTTTCTACCATCTAACTTGATTTTTCCAACATCATTATTTTCATATAGTCAATGTCCTAATATCTCTTAAAAAAATTCTCTTGGCAATTGTCCATCAACTTGATCTGGTTCTGGCTATCATTTTGAGCATACCAAAAGATACTTCCCATCTTTTTGTGAGTATATATTTTTTTTGTGCATTTTGAATGTTGAAATTCTATTGTTGCTGGAACTTGTCTTCCATGCCATAAAAACCCCAGAAGTTGCACCAAATGCAGTATCATCCACCATAAAGAAATGGTTAAAAATGCATTGGTTGAGAATAATATTAATGGCCAGAGGTGGAATTTGGTCACAACTACAAGGAGTTTAAGTAGAGAAAGAAAACATCTGGTGTTGCAATTCAGCCAGCCCTTTTAGACTATCATCTATTGGGACCAAAACCCAAAACTAAAATTGTATTAGTATAATAGCATAAGCATGCGAAACAATAAAAAACAGATTAGAAACCTTAACAAGGGAAATGGCTTATTGTATTACAACTTCTTTAAAGTACGAATTACATTTGATGAAACGGTGAGACTGTATTTACTCTTCCATTTCATGAATAATTTCCAACTCGAAATTCTGGTGTCTTGTTTGAACAGCTGCATTTGTTCTTGAGGAACCGGTCTTATCAAAAGGAGTAGGGGGTGCAATTAACTTGTCTCCATCTCCTTCAAGCATTTGTACCACAGTTTTCATGGATGGACGGTCCACTGGGTTCCACTGAATACACCAAAGTCCTATAATGGCAAGTTTCCTAGCAATTTTAGCATCTCCCTCCTCCTCAATTGTAACTTCCACGTCTCGTGCTTCCACCAAATTATGGATCCACTCAGGGTACAGAACTTGGAAACTTTCCTCCACTGACATATTTGTATTCTTTCTTCCTCCTACCATCTCCAGAAGCAACATTCCATAGCTGTAAATGTCAGACTTATAAGAGACATTACCAAAGTTTCTTGAGAAAACTTCAGGGGCAATGTAGCCTAAGGTTCCCCTGGCTGCAGTCACAGACACAGTACTTTGATTTTTAGGACACAGTTTAGCAAGTCCAAAATCAGTGATCTTTGGATTGAAGTGATCATCTAACAAAACATTGTGAGGATTGATGTCAAAGTGAAGTATTCTATGATCACAGCCCAGATGGAGATACTCAATCCCTTTGGCAACACCAAGAGCAATTTGTTGCAACTTCTCCCAACCAAGGAAAACATCCTTGTTGTCTGGTGGAGCCAAGAATCTCTGCAGTGATCCATTTGGGAAGAAATCATAGACAAGAGCACGGTGGAATCCATCAGCACAGAATCCAAGCAAGCGAACAACATTAACATGATGAATTTTGCCCATTGTTCCCACTTCGTTTATGAAATCCTTTCCATCTCCAACAGCGTCATTGAGTATCTTCACAGCAACGAGAATATCGCGGGAGAGCATTCCCTTGAACACTGCTCCATGAGCTCCTTCTCCCAAACTCTCACTAAACCCATTTGTGATTCTCTTAATGTCAGCGTAAGTGAATCTTGTAGGCTTCATTGCCTTGTAATCCTCCAAGAATTTCTCTATTCGAGCTTGGTCTTCTCCTTTCATCTTATAATGGTCATGCACATGAAACAAAGCCTTGGCCAAAAGCAGCACAAGAAGGAAACCACCGAATCCCCCTGTGGGTGTATCTTCTGTTAGACACCTTACAAAGAACCACAAACAGAGAAAGAAAACGGCGAAACAAGGATACCGCACATACCTGCTGCGATAAGTACAATAGTTGATGTTGGAAGCCCGTTTGTGGGGCAAACAAAACATTCAACTTCACTTTGGGTACCATTCTTGTATCTACATTTACTTCCTTGTGCTTCACAGGAACTGCAATTGGGGCTGGTCCATTCCGCAACCACGGTGTTGTTCAAATAATCCCGTACATACCACTGGACGGAGTAAACATCACTCAACTTTGTGCACGATACTATCTCGGGATCAAGAATGTCATTTTCAGAATCAAGTTGCAAAATTGGGCATGACATTGAGTTGCAGCGGAAGAAGGAAACATCCCGGTCCCTATTTGACAGGAATTGAAATGGTGAAATAGAGGAATTGCCGAGCTTCATGAGCTGCCTAGGAAGGCAATTTTGAGGGTCGTAGAGTTGGATTTGCTGTGACTTGTAATCTATGCTTTGGACATACAATTTTATTGGAACAGAAGGCAGATCCATCACAGTCTCATCTGCATCCGTACACAACAGATCGAACCCACGAGGATAGCCCATGGTGTGATTCAACTTGCTATTTCTGAGGTGAAATGGAAATTGAATGTGAATGGAGCCACACTTTTCCGTGCACCCATTTTTGCATATGGCAGGCTTCCATAGCAGAAGCAACACCGTCAGCACAAGAGCGAGATTTTGAAAATTTAGCATTGAGTGGTTGCAGAAAATTTAGCAATGCTTAGCATAATTAAAGTGTGTGTGCAAGTTGGAGAAGGAGATAATGGCCGCCGGGTGTAAGTGCAACTGCGATTCCGCGTTGGAAGTAGACAAGTGGACTTGCTTGCTTATCAAAAATTAAATAGTGGACTTGACTCGCATACCAAAACAAAAAGTGGACTTGACTTTATCTAATACAAATAATTACAGAGGAACAGTTGTAACTTGTAATTAGTGTATTGACGGGGATTGGTTGTGATAGACGGTTCCTTCGTGGAATGGAGGGGATTGAGAGGATATTACCTTCTTATTTGGATTTGGATTAAAGAATTTGAATAGATGAATGAATAATTTAAAAGAAAAATTTGTAAATCATGTATCGAGATATGATAGATTAAAATATTTGTCATAATTGATAAAATTAGAGTATTATTCATTTTGTTTTAGAAATTTGATATAAATATATACTTAAGTAGAGAATATTATATTAAAATGAAATTGAAATTGTTGTTGATAAAAAAAATTAAATTACAAAAATAAAATTAAAATTTATAAAAGAGATTTGTGGGATAAATTTTAAATACATTTTCTTAATAACTTTTACATTGTTATTTAAATTCTTGTTAACAAATAATGTATTATATTTGACATAGTAAATAAAAATTGTCCACAAAATATTAAAATAAGTTTTTAAACCGACTCGTTAATATAAACTTAATAAATTAAACTTAACAATTTTGGAAAGTTATTTAATATTCAATTTTCTACATTTTATTAAAACAAAATTGTCTAGAAAATAGATTGTCTAGGCAAGACAAATTTTGAAGTTTAACAAAGAGCATTAAATAAAATATTGTTATATTAAAAACATAGTAACCTCTAATGAGAAACTCTTTTCATAAGTCTAGAGCAAGGTTTATAAATAATGTTTTCTACACAAAAATGTTTAAATGATTCAGAAAATCATAAATAGCATTTAAAAGAGAGTATCTCTCATTGAATCAATTAATAAACTTCATGAGCAAAACAAACTAGCTTCTTATGAAAACAGAAGTCTATCTCTTATATAACACTAAGGGTTAAAAGAAATTTTCATTCAAATACAGTGCTATATAAAGCAAAGCTTTCTAGAGAAAACATTGTCTCCTAAGTGACCATCTTATGTTTATAACATCTGATGAATAAACATTTATCTTACCAAACGATGCATTTATGAATGAAATGACAAATGATAAAATGTTTTGAATACGCTACATTGTTTAACGTTTATCAACGTTCAAATCATTAAATGCATGTACAAAAAGTACTTTGATGCTTGTATACTTTGTTCTTGGTATTCTTGTAGATCGATAAAGTAGAAAGATATGATCAGAATCATGACACCCAAGAAAAAGAGGTTATGAGAGAAGAAGAACATTTTAGGAATATTTCCCTTGAAGCCCTACGCTTAGTCACTTCGTACAAGCTCAGTCACTTCGTACAAGCTCAGTCACTTCGTACAAGCTCAATTTCACCTAAGGCTATGAGAAAAAGCTCTGAAGCCTACAAAGTAGAGTTTGACTTCACATCTAAAGTCTACCTACTCTCTTAAGGTCAACTTTTTGTCTAACATTCATCTTTCAAGAGAAGCTATGTATAGAAGAAAGCTTGAAGAGAAGTTGTTGTTGATAAAAAGCGCAATAAAGAGAACATAAGAAGAATAGTAATGTGAAAAGAGAGAAAAGTCAACCTATATCGTTTGAAGCTCAATATTCTTTTAGAGAAAAATCTTAGTGAAAGAAAGAAACACATTCAAGTGTCATAAATTGTATTATATTGGAATACACATCCTCTCGTTAAGAGTTAATTATCTGTACCTTATAGAAAATCCATTTGTGGATTTGTTGTAAATTCTAAAGAGAACTTAAATACTTGGTTCTTTAGCTCATGTTGAGTTGAACATTCAGATAGTTGTCTAGGGTTAGATCCAGGAGTGGCTAAACTCGATCTAATTGTGTTGACTAGGGAACCAAGAGTGGTACTAGTACTCACTGTAACAAGGAGTGGTGAGAATACTCAGTGAAATCTTAGAGAGGCAAGACTCGTGTTATCTTAGAAAAGATTAGTGGAATCCCTTAAGAGTTCTTAGGGGAGAACTGGATATAACTTGGGTTGACTGAACCAATATGAAAATTTTTCGTTTATTGCTTTCTTATCCAAAACCACTTTCCATTCACCTATCTCAATAAAAACCAGAGTCAATTAATATATATATATATATATATATATATATATATATATTATCTTTACAAGTCATTAGATGTTGTTTTGTGAAAAGAATTTGAAAAACACTATTCACCCCCCTCTAGAGTGTTTCTTGAATATTTTAGTTGGTACCAGACTTTACCTCAAAAGTGAGTTCTTAACAAAACTTGAGGAAACAATTGTGTTATCAAAATGATGAAGATGAAGTTTGATGATACCCAAATCAAGTCAAGAACAATCAAGAACCAAGAAGAGTTATTTGAAGTCTTGTATTGTATTAGAAAGCTTTTGTAATAAGTCTAGATTTAATGTATATAACTTAGCTTTAGAGTAGAAAATGTGTTTTGCAAAATTACTGTAGCGAAACACTATAACACTGTCCACATGAATAGTAACACTATCCATGTGAATAGTGACGCTCAGCGGCAAGGATATCGCACTTAAAGCAAACGTTGAAGAAACTAGACATTGGAAAAACTAGTCGTTTATGGCCGTTGGACAAACTAGCCATTTATGGCCGTTTATAGCCGTTGGAGAAACTAGTCGTTAAGTTTGTCTTTTAGTGAATGGAAGCCTATAAGTAGAATGGAAGGCTTCATTTTGTAATGAACTATTCCCTAATGGTCTAAAACTCATAAACTCTTGAGAATTGTGAGCTATTGTTCGGCTAAGGAAACTCTTTTCTGTGGAGCTAGTGAAGTGCTGCTACGGTGATAGACGAATAGCTGGTTCATCCTTGATGTGTCTAAGGAAGTGTTTGGAAGAGGAAATCATCCTTCGTGAAGTATTTGGAGGAAGTAGTTCATCCTTTGTAAAGATTCAAAGGAGGTGTAGGTTCATCTCTTGTGGAATCAAGAGAGGTGTTTTCTAAACTTTTACAAATTGTATCTTTGTGATTGTAGTTTGTAAATGTTTTGTGATTAGTGAATTTTTTATCTTGTTTTGAGATAAGCGACTGGACGTAGAATTGGTAAGATCCAAACTAGGATAAAATCATCTGTGCAAATTTCTCTCAACCTTACTTGATTTACTTGGTATTATTAATTGCTAAGTAAGTTTAATTGAGTAAAAATTTTAAAGGCACACGTTTTTATTAAGAACCAATTCACCCCCTCCTCTTGGTTTTTTGTTCCATGCTAACCATTCCACTACAGCCGCTTTGACAATTGGTATCAGAGCTTGCTTTGATAGTCATTCAAATGGCGGGACAATATCAAACTTTCGCAGAGGGTGCTTCTATCAATAGACCACCACTACTCACAGGTGAAAATTACACATTTCGAAAGGTTAGAATGAAAATTTTTATGGAGTCTATTGATGTAGATATTTGGGATGTTGTTGCATTTGGTCCTTTTCTTTCCAACTAACAATATGCAAGAACCAAAGCCCCGTGACCAATGGACTACTGAAGAAAAGAAAAAATTTGGTAACGATGTAAAATCTCGTAATATTATTTCATCTACTTTAACTGTTGACGAGTTTTACAAGATTTTTGTTTGTAAGATTGCAAAAGAAATGTGGGAAGTACTGAGAGTAACCCACGAAGGTACAGATGATGTAAAGAGAGCTAGAAAGAATACCTTAATCCAGGAATATGAGATGTTCAGGATGAAGCAAGGGGAAACAATAGTAGATGTTCATAAACGCTTCACCAACATCATAAACCATCTTATTGGACTAGGTAAGTCTTTCGATACTGATGAGCTTAATATAAAAATTTTGAAATCTTTAGACATGTCTTGGCAACCAAAAGTGACAACAATTTCTTAGTCACAAAATCTTAACACAATAACCATGGGGACATTATTTGGAAAGTTGAGAGAGCATGAACTTGACCTCGGAAGACTAGATGAAGAAGAAGCAAAAACTAAGAAAAAGACTCTAGCCTTCAAATCTGAGGTAGAAAAGAGCAAAAGGAAAATGGAAGATGAAGACTCAGAAGAAGAAGAAAATTTGAGTCTACTAATCAAAAGGCTCAACAGGTTCATGAAATCAAAAGTCAAAGGGAGATTCAAATATGAAAAGAAAGAAAATCAATGATCTTCCTCAAACCATAGATGCTACGGTTGCGGAGAAAAGAGAAACTTAAAAGCTGACTGCCCAAATCAAAAGAAAGGTGAAGAAAAGAAAGAACATAAATTCTTCAAGAAAAAGAAAGCCTACATCGCATGGGACGATGACAACGAAACAATTTCTGACTTGAGCAATTTTAATGAAGAAGCAAACATCTGTCTAATGGTGGACGACGACACTACTAGAAGTCAAGTAAGTACCTCTCATGATTCTGATGATATAGATTTTGATGAAAATGAATTATATGAAACTTAAAGAGAATTATTGATAGAATAAAAAAACTAGATCTTGCTCATAAGAAATTGAAAAAGGATTTTAAAGAATTACAAAAGAAATATGAAAAATCCTTAGAAGAAATAGAAATTTTAAATAGTAAAATTTCAATTTTAGAAAAGGATACAAATATATCTACTGAGTGTAAATTTTGTAATGAACATAAATTGAAAGTTGATAATCTTGAAAAATCAATAGCAGATGAAAATAAAGAATTAAAATCAAATTTTAAAAATATTTTTGAAGAAAATAAAAATTTGAAAAATAAAATTTTATATTATAAAAAAGATAAATTTACTAGTAGTGATGAGTGTTTATCTTGTGTAAATTTTAAGAAACTACTAGATGAGACAACCTTAGGTGAATGTAGTAAAAATAATGAAAATAAGATTGTTAAAAATAAGTATGTTCATAAAATTAAAATAAACATAATAATAGAACCCGTAGAACTTGGGTAGAAAAATGAACTTATAGGAACACAAATGTTGTATCATGCTTTTATTGTATGAAAAAGGGTCATACTTCAAATAAATGTAAAATTAAGGATTATGGTGTTCCAAGTGGTAGATATGCTTGGGTTGTAAAATAATTTTTCAATCTAACCCA